ACAAGTGTATTTGTATGTCCTGTAAGAATTCTCAAGAGTATAGTAAAACTGACAAGGAACAAGATTGTAGTCACAGCCAGCTACCCAGAGGGAGTAAGAAGTTGAACCTGTGAGCTCAGGACCATAGTCACAGGGGCCATCAAGCTCAACTGGCATAACATACTACACAAAACATTGTTCCACCTCCTACTTTGGTGAGTAGCGACTGAGATCTTAAAAGCTTGCAAGCAGCCATCTAGATGCAACAATGGGTCTCTCCTTGTCTGGAGCAAAGAAGAGTGAAGAAAACTAAGGATTCATGGAAACAATTAGTCCTAGCAACTGGTACCCATGCGATCATCAGTCTATACGACTATGAGACCAGAAGAACTAGATGGTGCCTGGCTACCACTGTCAACCACTCGGAGGGGGATCTATGTAGGAGATCCTGGATAAAGAGGGAGAACAATGTGGAACAAACTCAAAATCATTTGGGGGGGAAAAAAAAGGGGGACTGGGTTTGCTGGTCTGATAGAGCCTGATGGAACCACTGAAACTATGGTCCCTAGCTGCCCTTCAGGTCTGGAATTGAACCCACACCTGTGGCTTCCAGCCAAACAAAAGACAGGCATATGAGTTGAACATTTACCTGAGATAGATACACTCCTTGGAGAGAACAATCATGGCAGAAAGAAGGTCTGTGTATGCACAGGGAGACAGCTCAGGGGGCAGGAGTGCATGGAGGGATGGACACAGGGAAGAGGTAACTATTGGGAGGAGGTGGGAGGGGAACTGTTGCATTGTGGTAGATTGTAGTCAATGTCATGAGACAATATGTATGTGAACTGCTGTATGGAAAGTGAATTTGCTCTGTAAACTTTCACCCAAATCACAATAAGAAAAAAATAAATAATAAAAGGAAAAGGGGAACAGATGACTGGTGTGGACAAATCTTGACAACCATTGGGTTAGAGATATATGGTTGATAGGTTTATGGGGGTACATTATGTTGTTCTATATCTTTGAAATGTTTATAATAAAATTATTTTTAAAACTAAAAAAAAGAAAAAATTATTTATCTTACTAAAATAACAGGATATTATAATTTTCACAAATGTTTGTTGCTGAAAAAAATTATCTCAAAGCCAATATTACAATTTAGTGCTCAGAGGAACATGTTTATATGTGGGGACAATATCTTTAGTATTATATAAAATATGACCCTTTTCTAGCATAATATGAAGAAAGTCAAGGTGATTTACATTCACTTTAGGTTAGGAGGAAACCTTAGAGATGATATGATTTAACCTTTTCAATTACACAAAAAAGAAAACAGATATCCGAGATAAAATTATATAGCCAAACTCATTGGCAGCTGGAACACCATTTCTTAGCACGGAAGCTATTCCTTCAAAAGCAAAACAAAATGTCTTTTCCTCAGCAGGCTCATGTTAATACCAAGTTAGTCTTAAGTCATAATGATAACTAACCAACAAGGTGAAGAACCTTGAAATATTATATTCGAGATCTGTAGAAAATGTGAATATACCACACAATGTAAATTAAACTGCAATGGTGACTTGTTATAATATATCTTTTTTCTAGTGCAATTATTAGAACACTGATTAAAAGTATGTTAAAATGCTGAGGGTTAAATGGAGACATGCATTTTAGAACTCTGCCATGTACCCCATTTCTACTCCATGGTTAAGAGACTTTGTCAAACAAAACAAGAACATCATGTACTTTAAGTGTTTCATTAATCAGGAGTTAAATGTCATTCTGATAATCTCATTTGCAAAAGGTCACTGATATGTGAATTTGCTTCAGAAATAGGGCACAATGTCAGTGCAATAACCTGATAAGGGAAAAATGCTTAATACAAATAGTTTTTCTCTACAGTAGAGAAAGGAGACATATATTAGGATTATTATTTATTATGCCTGCAGAAGAAATATACTTTATACTAGTTCACATGATCATAAATTTGAGACAAAATACTACCTTTCCATGGTTTGTGCTTAATTTAGATTAAAATGGGCATATTAATAAATTTATTTACCAGTTCCATTACTATGACCAATAGCAAGTTTCTAAAGGACAGAAAATTCACAAGCAGGAAATATTACTTAGCAAAAAAGTATAAAACATATATGCTGAAAACTACAAATCACTGTTGAAAGAAACTAAAGAAAACTAACTAAATGGGAAGACATACCATGGTCATGGATCAGCAGATTTAATATCATTTAGATGTCAATATTCCAAAAACTGATGTACTGATTCAATGCAATCCCTATCAAAATCCCAAGTGGATATTCACATGCAGAATAAAGTTGGACCCCCTTACTTCACACTATATACAAGAATTAACTCAAAATGGATCAAAGACCTAAATGTAAAAGCTAAAGCTGTAAAACTCTTGGAGAAAACATAGACATAAATTCTTGTGGCCCTGGATTTCTTAGAAGAGCTCTAGTAGTGTAGTGGTTAAGGCATTTGGCTGCTAACCAAAAGGTCAGTCATTTGAACTCACCAGCTGCTACATGGAAGAAAGATGAGGCAGTCTGCTTCCATAAAGATTTACAGCTTTGGAAACCCAATGGGGGTCGCTATGAGTTAGAAATGACTTGATGGCAATGATTTTGGTTTTGGTTTGAGATTTCTTAGATATGACACCAAAAGCACAAACAACAAGAGAAAAAAAAATCAATAAACTGGACATTATTAAAGTGAAAAACTTCTGTGTTCCAAAGGACATCATCAAGCAAATGAAAAGACAACTCACAGAATGGCAGAAATATTTTGCAAATCATATGATCTGATTAGAGACTTTTTTCTAGACTATATGAAGAACTACTATAATTCAATAGCCTAATTTAAAACTGGGCAAAAGATGTGAATAGACATTTCTCCAAAGAGGACTTACAAAGCAATAAGCAAATGAAGCAATGCAACATCATTAGCCATCAGAAAAATGCAAACCAAAATCACAATGAGATACCAATTAATGCCCAGAAATCAGAAAAGTCAGATAATCTGCAATAGCCAAAAAGTGGGAACAACCTAAACATTCATCAACTGATGAATGGATACACAAACTATTGTATTATCTACACAATGAAATATAATTCAGCAATAAAAAGAAAAGAAGCACTGATACCTGCTACAATATGGATGAACCTTGAAAATACTATGTCAAGGGAAAGAAGTCAGTCACAAACGACCATATATTATATAATCCCATTTATGTGAAATGTCCAGAAAAGGCAAATCTATAGAGCAGAAGGTAGATTAGTGGTTGTGTATGGCTGGGGGACTGGAGGGAAATAAGGAGTGCCAGCTAATGGGTACAGGGTTTCTTTTTGGGGTGATAACAGTGTTCTAAAACTGACTGTAGTGATGGCTGCACATACCTGTGAATATACAAAAATTCATTTAATTGTACTCTTTAAATGGGTGGATTGTATGGTATATGAATACATATCAATAAAAAAAGAAATAGCACATAAGAAGGATTGAAAAGGAATAAGTTTTCTGATAATGGTTAAGTAGTTTTCTGACATAAAACCCTTCCATAGATTATTAGCTATCTTTTCCCCTTAATTGTTAGGAGAAAACAATATGTGCTAGAAATTTAAAACAAAAGGAAAGAAAAACAACCCTCAATGTGCACACGTCAGTTTCTTTCAGTTTTTTTTTTTTTTTTTTTAAATTAGAAAAGCTTTAGTAACCATATATATCCACACCCAAGCTATCGGGGGACTTTAAAATTTAAATTCTTCTGCATGGCTGAGTCTTATGTAGGTCATTTCAATTTTTAAACTACTTAAAAAAGATTAGCAATTATGATATAACTCCCTCACACTATCCTACCTTATTACACAGAGGAATCTGAACACATCTTGGAGGCATCAAGGATATTACTCACTCACTATGTTTACTATCTAATCTATGGGGGCTCACAAATGTACGTCTCCTACCCAGGTTTTCCTCACTAGACCACACCCTTCTAACAGGTCTCTCATAGGAACATCCAGTCCTCCTTCCTTGAACTCATCACAACTGTGATTTTATGTCTGTGTATGCAGTTCTCTGATATACAGTAAGCTTCCTGAAGATGAGGTCCTTGTTTGTTTGTAGCTCACCAGTGTATCCTTAACATTTGACATTATTAAAATGAATGAATAAACTGCAGGTGATGTGATACAACATTACTTGTCTGTCTTCTAATGTTATTCTAATCTACAATAGACTTAGAAGTCATATAACTGTTTTACAACTGTGTGTGTGTGTGTGTGTGTGTATAAAGAATGCAGGCACTTAAGTGCCTATGAAATGTTCTACAGCTTCCTGAGAGACAAAGTTTGGTGGCACAGTGCCTAAGGCATTTGACTGCTGACTAGAAGGCTGGCAGTTCAAACCCACCAGCCACTTCTCAGAAGGAAGACTGGGCAATCTACTTCCGTAGTGATACCTCCTCGGTAACCCAAGGAGGGGGTCACTATGAGTTGGATCCAACTTGACAGCATTGCGTTTTTTTTTTTTTTTTTGGTTTGCATTTCAGATAGGTGAGGCTGCAAACTGTCTGAGAGATGCAAATATGTCCAATGGAAGTGTGGAAAAAAATAAAAACAGATGCTGAACTGTTAAAAGGTGTTTCAGCTAGATCTCAGAGAATACTTAGCAAGTAGGGACTGAAATTTTAAAAAAGCATCTATCTTGAAAAAAGTATATTCTTCAATTCATTTAAGACCACATTAACAGAATCACTTTTTTAAAATCTGAAATTATTTGTTATTAATAAAATGTCCTTTTGTGTGTCAGATAGCTTGCCAATCATGCTTGCCAAGTTTTAACGCTAAGCTTAGCCCAATTATGTTTATTCCATAAACTTAAAATTCTATTTATAACTGTACCAATGAAAAACCACTGTAAATAATGGTAAATACTTGTACTGATAATATGACTTTACAAAAGAAAGATTTTTTTCCCCATCAAATTTAAACTAGTTTACTCACCTGCATTAAAAGCTGTAAAAACATTTTTTCTTGAAGGACCTAAAATTTAAAAATATTTATATATAATACACATATATTTTATACGAAACATCACACAAAAACAAAGCATTTTAGAAATAAGGGTTGTTTTATTTTCAAAAACAATTGAAAAACTACTAAATTTTAGATTTCAGATGAAAAATACCATTGCGATGCAATCAATTTTTATCAAGCACATTCTACATCCAAAATTATATTCCAAATAACATCAAAGTGATAGTTTAAGGATTTCTCTTTCAAAAAATTAAATTTGATCAGTTTTAATAGAATAAACCACAGTATTTTTTTCAGTCATGAACAGCTAGAAGTCAAATTTGAATAGTACAGACTTTACACATTTACTAAGCACATAATGCTCTTCTTGTTGACAGAAAAGTAAGGCCAAACTTTGTGAAAGACACTCACTAGTGTGTGGTTTCTCAAATTGCAGTGTTAGTCCAGTTCATTTGCTATTCAGCTATGAAGAAAAAATATTAAGCATTTTTTCCAACCCGACAGAACATAAATTGCAACCAGGACTGGTAATAGGTAGAGAACTGCAAAGATAAGTCCCTCCAACAAAACTTGACATGAAACAGTCATTTCTAGGGCAAATTCATCTTCAGATTACTAGTTAGAACAGTTGCTACATTCTATCTGTGGAATTTTACAGAGATGATAATGTCTTAAAATATCTGGCCATTATAAATGGAAAGCACTGATTCCTACTCAAATAAAGACTTTGTGACATAAAACTCACAAATTCAATAGTGAGGGCTTTTAGCATATTGGAGTTTCCTGTTCTATGAAGTTATCAGTGGTATCTCGATATTCTGATTCTCTGAAGTTACCTCTACAGCAAATTTTGACAATATGTATTTTCAGTTACTGATGTGTGGATTAAGGAGCTCTGGTGGTGCAGTGCCTAAGCCATTTGAATGCTAACCAGAAGGTTGGCAGTTCAAGCCCACCAGCCACTCCATGGAAGGAAGACCAGTCAATCTACTCCTGTAAAGATTTACCATGAGGGAGCTTTATCATCACCAGTAAAAACTACAGATTCACATACTGGTTGTTACTCCAACAAGGGGTCATTTGGTAGCTCAGAAATTTATTTGAAAGCCTTTGAGCAAATGGGAACCTATCAGGCATACTGAAGAACCTTTTCGCAAATATTTGTCTATTTTCCTTTCAATTCAATGGAAATAAAAAAGTATTGATAACCATTCACTAGGTAATTAATTTCAGGTTGCCCCATGATCATTCATATAGAGATGTTATTGTTGTTGTTGTTGTTGTTATGTGCCATCGAGTCAGACTCGACTCACAGTGACCCCTTCTTGGGTTGCCGAGGCAGTATTACTATGGAAGTAGATTACCCAGTCTTCCTTCCAAGGAGTAGCTGGTGCATTTCAACCACCAGCCTTCTGGTTAGCGTCACGTGCCTTAGGCACTATGCTACCAGAGCTCCTACAGAGTTATATAAATGATGACAGCACAGAGGAGCAGACACACTCTCTCACACTGCTGTTAAGAGCAACCCCTTCTTTCTGGAAAGCTACTGAGTCATACATACTAACAACTTCAAAAGCTCATACAGTTTAACCCAGTACTGTCATTCCTCTTTCAGGAAAATTTTATGGAAATACTTAGTACCTGAAACAATGAACAATGGTTCACACCCAAAGATGTTTATTTTAGTATTATGCATGATAATAAGTCAGAAATTGTTCAATATAAACTAAATTTGGACAACAAATGGAATTGGAAAGCAATGGTGTTTTACTGCAAAGCCACTTAAGATGAAGACAATCTCATGATATACTATTAAATTAATAAAAAGCAAGATACAGAAGAGCATACATATTATGACCTCAGTACCAAAACCATGTATATATGCAGGGGAAAAACAATGGAAGAAAATGCAAGTTACTGGTGAGGATGGGATTAAGGAAGGCTCTCTGTATGCTTCTGTATTTTCAAAATTCTCTAAGTATAGGTCACATTTCATAGGTCAAGTTTCTCATTCATAATTATTCTTCCAGTCAAGTAATCTTTCAATTCAGTAAGCAAAAAATAAACTTTTGGTGTACTTCAGATCTACTGTGATAAAGTTGCCTGTATTTGCCACATACATTAAGCATAGTAATAAGCGTGGAACATCTAGTCAGGTGAGAAGTAAATTATGCATTTTTATTATCTCACTTATCTAGAACACAACCTTAGAATAATTTCACTCTAAATGTTTTATTTTTTTCTTTCTATATTATTCCTTTGTTATGCTTACTGATTTATATGTAACATGTTTGAATTCTAGACCCTTAAGACTCTTGGAACAGGAACTTAATTCCTCAGCATAAAAACTTGTTATATCTGCTTTTTCAACAGACATTATATAAATAATTGTAAATTATACCATTAACCTAATTGTTAAAAATTTAACTTCTTGCAAGCCAAGAACTTAAAAATGGCTATCCTTCTGTCTTCTATCCACAATGGGGACCATACCTTTTGGAGGAGTTTTTAGTAAGTGTACATGAGCTCTGGGTACCAAAGGCTTCAAATATAAGGATCCAGAGGAACCATTTTGAAACGCTGGTTTTGGAGGCTTTTCCTCATACTTGATGACAGCAGCATTACCAGCTGTGGTAAAACATAAAAGTATATTTTACTTTATTGATAAATACAGTATCGACCTTCCAAATTCATTCCTTCCTTCTTGAATCAACAAATGTTCACTAAACCTAAAATGTGCCAGTCATTACTGAGTTTGGGAATATAAAGATTGATAATTGGTAGTTCCTGTCCCCAGGGATGTCACAGTAAATACAATGCAAGGTAAACTCTGTAACCAGAATGACCACACATGCCAGTTTGCCTGGCACAGACCAAGTCCAAGTCTTAAGTTTCTGTGTCCGTCCAGTTCAGCTTTTATCCCAGATAAAAGCTTGAGGATAAATTATATGATCATCCACACTACAGAACAAGTCTGCCTGAGGTGCAGCTAGATTCCATCTCCAGGATTACAAAGCAGAGCACAGGTAGTCAGCTGTGTTAATGATGCAAGAACCAACACCCACGGGAGAACCAAAACTCACAGCCATCAAGTCGATTCCAATTCATAGTGACCCTTTAGGACAGAGTAGAACTGTCCCACAGGGTTTCCAAGGCCGTAAATCTTTACGGAAGCAGACTGCCTCATCTTTCTCTCATGGAGTAGCTGGTGGGTTTGAACCACAGACCTTCTGGTTAGCAAGCAAATGCTTTAACCACTATTCCACCAGAGATCCTTTACCATGTTTAGAAACACATTATAAATTTGAAGACAGGTTGAAAATATTCACTAGGTTAAACTATCCCAACCCCTATGACAGTGCTTATGCCACATTCAAACCCTATAAAGACATACTGTTACTCTCCCCTGGTACATGTCCAGTCCCTCTACAAAGAACCATCTGTTAATTCTTCCTACGCCCAGATAACGTTTTCATTATTAGGTCACTCTTCCCTCTTGCTCTTGCGCTTCCATTAATTTCCCATCCTTCTTTCCAATTCCACCCTTCCCCAGGACCTAGAAGTTGATAAGAAGCTAATGGGAAGACAGTACTGAAAAAATAAATTGAATTCAATTTAAGATCTAATATGAAGCTGCATGATTCTATACATAGATGATTTAAGCTATAAAATTCAGCACAGCTTTTTGTAAGGATGAATAGGAAATGATGTCATGATCTCAAAATGACAGAACCAAAATTTCATAGGGCATGGTTTTGTGTCTATTTTTTTTTAGATTTGCATGTAAAGTGGATACTGGTTTTCAACTAGCATTTCAACTTTTACAGAATCAAAATCCAGGAAAATAAGTAAATGGTGTTAGCATAAAGTCTTATTAAAGATACATTGTAACAATCTGGATTTTAATTTATATTCAGCAGCAAATTAAGTCAAATCACCATCTGAATTTTGAAAAATTAAATTGAGTTCAATTTACAGATATAATATAAAGTTGTATGATTCTAAATTTATGCTTTTCTTTTCTAAGCTTTAGACACAAAGACCTTCAGTTCACAAAGACTTCAGTCAAAGGATTTCTCACTAAAGCAAAAGACACATTTCTCATGAGGCACAATGCTCTTGTCCCTTGGGCCCCCTGTCATGCAAAGAATAGGAGGTGTTGTCCTGGAAACTGTCTCACTGCCAATCCTCAGACTCAGTATAGGATTCTACTAGATCCATCAACTTAGTAATGTGCAGGGGTCAAATATCCATATTCCAAGGATAAATGTCTGAGTTTGACTCAGGTACACATACACAGAGGAATACATTTATACATGTATATATTTATACACTCAAAGGTCATCTATTACATATGCTTCCTTCCCTCTTCCCCATGTTACTAATGGTGGGAACAAACTGTGCTGACTTGCACATACTTTATGTGAAACATTTACATATCTTTCTCTCAATTCTCTCAACATTATCCTCTAGGTTGGGCCACTGCTTTCTAGCAATGTAGTTCAAAGTACAGCTTGAAAAATGTATATTCCTATGAGGCATGGTACCCTTAAAGGAGCTCTGGTAGCATAGTGCCTAAGGCACTTGACTGCTAACGAGAAGGCTAGTGGTTCAAACCCACCAGCCACTCCTCATAAGGAAGGTTGGGCAATCTACTTCTGTAGTGATACTGCCTCAGAAACCCAAGGAGGGGTCTCTATGAGTTGGGTCTGACTCGATGGCTCATAACAATGACAACAACAACATGGTACCCTTAAAGTATTTATCTTACTCTCTATTCACTTCTTACCATGGTAGCCTGTTATGTAATCTGATGTTATCTAAATTCTCCCTAGTTCAAAATTACTATATCTGAGTGATAAACTCTTCAGTGGCAACAATCCAATATAATCAGAAAGGTATGAAAGTTTCAAGCAATGGAATGGAATTCACAATATCTGAGTTCTGATCTTGACATGGCCAGTGTGTAGCTATGTTGAATCACTTCACTTCTCTATGTACAGTTAAAGACCTGTTACCATCAACTCAATTCTGACTCATGGCAATCCCATGTGTTACAGACTAGAACTGTCACATAGGGATTTCTTCATTATAATCTTACAGAAGCAGATCACTAGGCCTTTCTTCTGTGGAGCCGTTGAGTGGGTTGAACCACTAGCCTTTAGGTTAGTAGTTGAATGTAAATCACTTGTGCCACCAGGTACCCTATATATAATAAGCAGATTTAAATATCAGGTGCAGAAATAGATATTATGTATACTATCGTAGGGGTCCCACTAACTGACTATGGTACTCAGGACCACTGTAACCAGATGCATCCCCAGAATCCTCCTAAACATAGTGCTCCAGGATGCCACAACTACACAATGACAGTTGGCCTATATGGTCAATGCTTGAAATATTACATGTGATTGCCTACAGCCAGCTCTAATGAGTAGGCTAAAAATTGTCCCTGTTTTGTTGTTATCCTTGGTGCTAGCTATATCTATTATGCCAGAATAATAGATGGCCTGAAATAGTTTTTTTCCTTTTCCCATGGCCAAAATGTGATTCAAATAATAATAATAAAAAAAAAAAGCGTGTGTATGTGTTTCTAAGAGGGGGTGGTTAGTGATAGAGAAGGGGAGAGAAAGAGAGTGCACAAGCACTGAGTCTAAAGAAAAAATGAAGAGCAATTCTCAGAAAAGCCTAGACAGAAGATTTTCCTTTTAGAGATGGGCTTCTCATTGCTCTGATTTTATTTGCAAATTAACATCTAGTTAATATTAGTTTTTGTTTTGTTTATTAAATTATGTATATATACACAGAGCCAACCTTATGTTCACTTCTTGAATTTTTTTTAATCTGTTTAACACTCCCCACTGTGCCAGATCATCTGGCCACCTGGCTTAAAATCAAATCACTACTGAAGCCTAAGCTTTCAAATTCTAAAAGCAAAATTATTCAACTTTTTGGTAAAAAGAATGTCTTATATATACCCTACATAAACATTAAAAGAGAAAGAATGAAAACAAAACTAATTTTGATCTGATGCATCAAAGAACTTTATCAACAAAGTGAAGAACAGCTTACAGATTGGAAGAAAATGTTGGGGAGTCATATATCTGATTAGGAATTAATATCCAGAATATATAATGAACACCTACAAATTTATAACAAAAGACAACCAATCAAAAAGTGGGTGTGGTGGTTAAGGTTGTATGTCAACTTGCTGGGCCTGGTTTTGAGTGGCTGGGCAGCTGGGTGTAGTTATCCCCCATGGTGAGATTGGTAATTAACTCCATGGTGGACTCTACTGGAGCAGCTGAGCAGCTGCTTTAGAGATGTGATCTGCTTCTAGTATATAAGCAGCAGCTTTAAGGAAGGTCTCTAGTTTTTTGGCATGCTTGGACCCTGCATGTAACTAAGGCTTCATTCAGTAGCCTGCCATACCCTCCTGATCTTGGGACTTTTTCTGGACTTCAATTAGTGGCCTGCCATGTTGTTTGGTAATATCAGGATTGTGTCTTGTTACTTGATGACCTTGAGTTTGTCAGCCTCAGCAGCCAGTAACTGCCTGAGTGAAGAAAAGCCTCCAGTTTCAGTGGGCCAGGAGCAGGATGCAGAGCTGAAGCCCAAGGTTGAGGGGCTTTCCTCCAGCCGCTAGAGCCTGGCACTTTGAACTCAGACTTCTAGCCTCCAAAATTATAAGAAAATAAACTGTTTGTTGAAGCTATCTCATTTGTGGTATTTTCTGCTGGAGTAGCACTGAGTAAGCCAAACAGTAGGCAGAAGACTTCAATAGACATTGCTCCAAAGGGTAACTATATATGGCCAACAAGCACATGAAAAGATGCCCAACATTATTAGCCATTAGCGAAATGCAAATCAAAACCACAATGAGATCCCACTTCACCCACACTAGGATGGCTATGATTAAAAAAAAAAAAAAAAAGAAGAAGAAAGAAAAGGAATATAATAAGTGTTCGGGAGTATATGAAGAAATCTAAGAAATTTGTTGGTAGTGGGAATGCAAAATGGTATGGCCACTGTGGAAAAGAGTTTGGTGATTCCTCAAAAATTTAAACAGAATTACCATATGACCCAGAAATCTCTATCCTAGCTAACACCCAAAATAATTGAAAGCATGGATTTAAATAGAAATGTGTACACCAGTGTTAATTGAAGTACTATTTACAATAGCCAAAAGGTGGAAATAACTTAAATGTTCATCAAGAGATGACTGAATAAACAAAATGTGGAATATATTCAAAGAGTGAAATATTATTTAGGCATAAAGAGAAATAAAGGTCCTGATACATCTTACAACATGGATGAACCTTGAAAACACTATGTTGAATGAAATAAGTCAGTCATAAAAGAGCAAACATTTTATTATCCAACTTAAATATGAAATATTTATAACAGGCAAATGTATAGAGGCCAAAGCTTATTTATAGTTACCAGAGGTGAAAGGGAGGGGGAGAGAGGACACCATTGTTTACGGGGTGCAGGGTTTCTGTTAATGGTGGTGGAATAATCTGAAAACAGCAGTGATGGTTACATGGATACATGATAAACATAATCAAGGTCATTGAATTATACATGTAAACAATATTGAATTGGTAATTGTTTTGTGTGATATATAT